GGCGCCTGATTGCCTGTCTGCTGCTCCGCCTGTTGAGGCGAATTCTACGGCCTGTGCGACACGTCTGATGACTGCTGTGGCCACTGGGGTTGTTGAGCCGGTGTGTGTGGGTGTCGGGCCGTCGCCTGAGCTGCGAGTAGTGCAGGATGTCCCGGTGGAGGTCCATGTCCCGCCCCCGCCTGTGGATGTGATACCGGCTCCCGGGAACGCGGGTTCTGCTGTTTTAGAGGGGGTGCTTCGGCAGGGGGAGGTGCCTGCCGTGCCTGTGTGTGTTGGTGACTGTAGTTCTGCTCTTTCCATCCCTTTGCAGAAGCGCGCGCGTCGGTGTTCTGAGGCTGTTTCCCTGGATGATGTGGACAGTGTGGGTGATGTGGCCTCTGTGGACTCTTCGGACGGTGCGGGTGTGGCCTGTGTGGATGTGAAGATGGTGGCCGTGCCTGCGGCGGGGCCTGCTGGGCGTGGTGTGGTGCGGCCTGTCTCGAAGCGTTCACGGCGGGCTCGGAGTGTCTCTCCCCTTCGTGGTGTGCCTTGGGTGATGGTTGGGGAGTATGGTGATCTGGCGCCTCCCGCCGAGGATGATGGTGCTGTGAGGGGCTCCGAAGTTGCTACCTGTGCCTCACCTCCTGCGTCTCCTGCTGTTGGATCTCCGCAGTGGGGGGTTGTGCCTGATGATCGTGACCTTGTCGTGCTGTTGCGGAAAGATGTGCGCCAGGGGGCCTCGGCTCCTGTGCCCGGTGGTGGGGTCGGTGCCGCGCCTGCCTCCCCTGCTGTATCCCCTCCTTCCTTGCTCCGGTCTGGGGATTGCCTAGTCCCGTCTGCTGGGGTCGTGCCCTGTGAGGGTCCGGAGTTGGGCCCTTATCGAGATGCCCGGGTGCTTCCGATCCCGTGGTGCTCGTCCACTGTCTGGGTGTCGCGGGTGATGGAGTTTGTGTATAGGGTGCCAGATAGGATGTCTCAGCCGAGGGCGCCGCCTGGTGGCCGGCTGCCTGCTGACCTGCGGGTGATTTGGGAAGCGTACTGCTCGCGCTTTCCGATACACAAGTTTCCGGAGAAGTATTAGTTCCCGTCTTGCGCACACTGCTAAGCCGTGCGTGGGTCAGCTGCCTCCGTGACCACGACGCCCCGCCCCCCGGTGCGGGGTGTCTCCCTCTAACGTTCGCCTCTGTTTTCGTCGCCTCTCCTCTCTCTACGGCCCATCACATCTACCGCTTTTGACTTTCTTCTCCTCCTAACCGTCAACGCGTCTCCTTACGTCTGTCCTGGTGCAGTCATCGGGAGGGTTAACCCTTCATGCAAACTGCACCTATTCTCAAGAAGAAGAAGAGGTGGTTTGCAGTGGTTGAACCCCATGCGTACTGAAGTTGAGTCTCTTGTCTAGGAATAGGAGAAGAAACTTTCCATCATTTTTATACTAATGTTTACATTGTCTATCTGAAGCTGAATTGCATTGGTAGATTTGCTTTCAAATAAGATGTAGTAGGTCTTTTCTATGTCAAGTGTTAGTTTGCTAGTTGACATCCATAAGTGGATTTTTTTTAGTTCATTATTAACAACATTATTTAGTGTATGTGGGTTGGTGTTAGAGTAGATGAGGGTAGTATCAGCAGCAAACTATATGGGTTTCAGAATGTTAGAGACATTAGGCAGATCATTGATGTATATAAGAAATAGGAGAGGTCCCAAGATGCTGCCCTGTGGCACTCCAACGGTTATTGGTAGGGTGGGAGAGGTTATATTATTGATGGTTACACATTGGTGTCTATCACTAAGATAGGATTGGATATAGTCCAGTGCATGGCCTCGGATTCCATAATGATGGAGTTTACGTAAATGGTAATTGTGATTATCAGTATCAAAGGCATTTCTCAGGTCAATGAAGAGTCCAATCGGAAACTCATTTTTGTCAAGGGCTGAGTAAATTATATCAAGAAGACTAATAATTGCATCGTTGGTACTCTTTTGGGAGCGGAAGCCAAACTGACAGGGGCTAAGAATGTCGAATTTTACGAGATAAGAGTAGAGCTGTTTGTAGATAATTTTTTCAAATATTTTTAATAGTATGGGTAGGTTCGATATTATTCTGTAATTGTTTATGTCTGCCGGATTGAATCCTTTATGAACTGGCGTTACTCTTGCTTTTTTAAGGATATCAGGGAAGGGATGACATTCTAAGGATTTGTTGAACAGCAGAGCTATAGGTGGCGCAAGGGCATGGGAGGCGCTCTTGTATACAATGGATGGGATTTCACTGATGTTCCCAGCCTTGGTTTTTAGTGAGTGTATGATGGACACAACATCTGCCGGGCTGACTGGTGAGAGGAGAAGAGAGTTTGGATAGCTGCTTGAGAGATATGTGTCTGAGTCTGTGGGATTTTACTGGCAAAGTTAGCACCAACCGATGAAAAGAAGCTATTAAATTCATTTGCCATTTCTAAGTCAGTTGACGGTGTAAGGCCATCCTTAGAGTGTTATCTGGTTGTGGGAATGTTGTTTAGTTCCTAGGATATTAGAGATGGTATTCCATGTGCTTTTCATGTTACCTTTTGCTTCTTTGTGATCAACAATATATTGTGATCTTCAGCTAATAACGCTATATTAGTTGATCACTGGTAAATATAGTATCGGCTAATAATTCATAGGTAAGAATGCTGACATGAAGGGAGAATTTAACATAAGTCTCAGATATGTAGACGTTATCTTTTCCGCCTATCAGTCTGGCTGACGTAACCTCGCCATGAAAATAAGAAAGATTTGGCTCCGTTATTACGCAGTAGGAAATAAATTGAAATTATTACTCTACTGATTAGTAGTATTAGTAAAATATAATAGTACAAGGATTATTTGTCGAAGTAATAAAAATGAGAAATAAGTGTTGGATATTTCCAACAATATCCTCCCTGTCCCCCCCCTCACCCCATACCCTCCCTGTCCCCCCCTCACCCCATACCCTCCCTGTCCCCCCTCACCCCATACCCTCCCTGTCCCCCTCACCCCATACCCTCCCTGTCCCCCCTCACCCCATACCCTCCCTGTCCCCCCCTCACACCATACCCTCCCTGTCCCTCTCTCACCCCATACCCTCCCTGTCCCCCCTCACCCCATACCCTCCCTGTCCCCCTCACCCCATACCCTCCCTGTCCCCCCCTCACCCCATACCCTCCCTGTCCCCCCTCACCCCATACCCTCCCTGTCCCCCCCTCACACCATACCCTCCCTGTCCCCCTCACCCCATACCCTCCCTGTCCCCCCCCTCACCCCATACCCTCCCTGTCCCCCCCTCACCCCATACTGCACAATTGGTCTTACATATGTAGTATACAAGGTTCTGAATGATTCCTTCACAGGATCCTGAAGGCAGTTCTGATGTTAGCCAGCCTCGCATATGCCGCAGACGTTATTCTCTTTATGTGGGCTTCAGGAGGCAGGTTTGGTGTGATATCAACTCCTAGATCTTTCTCACTATCCGTTTGATGAAGTACTTCATCTCCCATTCTGTATCCTGTGCCTGGCCTCCTGTTTCCACCGCCTAGTTTCATTACCTTACATTTACACAGGTTAAACTTTAGTAGCCATTTGTTGGTCATTCATTCAGTCTGTCTAGGGTATCTTGGAGCCTCATACTATCTATCATCCTCTGTTTTAATCTTCCTCAAAATTTTTGCATCATCAGCGAACAATGAGAGGAACGATTCTATACCCTCTGGTAGATCATTTAAAAATTCAAAAAATTTAAATGTTTATTTAGGTAAAGTATACATACAAGGGGTGATACAAATATTGATGGATTTATAGATAGAGCTAGTACATACAATGCCTAAAGCCACTATTACGCACAGCGTTTCGGGCAGGAAAAACACTAAAGACTAAAACTTAATACAAATTGAGATTAAAGTATAAAATGTGTTGAGAAAATATAAAAATAAAAAAGGGGGAACATGGCAGGAAAACAGCAAAAACATAATTTGGTCGACAAACAGCATTGTTTAAAATAGCAGACATGGGTTGACAATAGGGGCTAAGGTAGGTTACAGGTAGTACTTAGTTTTTATCTTAAACTGGTTGAGAGAGGTACAGTCTTTAACATGATTGGGAAGGTCATTCCACATTCTGGGTCCCTTGATTTGTAGAGCATTTCTAGTTTGATTAAGTCGTACTCTAGGAATATCAAAACTGTATTTATTCCTGGTGTGGTGCTCATGGGTTCTGCTCCAACCTTCTAGGAAGCTTTTAAGGTCAGGATTGGCTTTACAGTTCAGCGTTTTATATGTATATAATACACATGAGTACAGTGTACTGTACACTAATGACAAGTGTACACTGACTGGTACAACTGTCAAGTGTAGAGTACAGTGTACTGTGTACTAATGACAAGTGTACACTGACTGGTACAACTGGCAAGTGTAGAGTACAGTGTACTGTACACTAATGACAAGTGTACACTGACTGGTACAACTGGCAAGTGTAGAGTACAGTGTACTGTACACTAATGACAAGTGTACACTGACTGGTACAACTGTCAAGTGTAGAGTACAGTGTACTGTACACTAATGACAAGTGTACACTGGTACAACTCTCGCCCACTGATGTGTGGTTCTTCATACCTTTGTGCATATTACCAGTACTTACTGTTGTCATATAAAGCTTAAGACATATATTATATAAATATTTAGCGATGTACTTAGTTGTACAGATAACAGCTGTTGGGATCAAAATAAATAACAATGCAGAATAAAGATTTGTCATTGGTAACTTTAATGGAGTAACAGAAAACGGACTCGGACGCTGCGTACAACAACAGCGAATGGAGTTCTGTCTGCAATATTTAGTAATGTCTAGCTATAATTTCAGTAAATTAAGGTTTTATTTTCAATGTTATACCTTATGGTATAACATAGTTAATAGGTGATGACATGGGAATACATATTATTACGTGTAACGTCCATGAAAAGAATGACCTTTTGGATCATTTTTGTTGGTTTTGTACGTAGCTACCAACACACGCAGCCATCTTGAATTTTGTTCAGTTGTCTCTGGGCTGTATGAGGGGGAGGGTGTGCTCGTGTTCGTGCTCCGTCTGTGTAAATAAACCATAGAATTATCGAAACGTTTAATTTGCACTTATTTGAGAAGTAATTCTAATAAGGTTCAGATAGTTCTTTATATCCCAGTACAAGAAAAGTGGAGAATGAATAGTGAGGAGTGTTAAGTGAACCAGTTTGGTGGAAGGAGGAAGCGAGGATAGGGAGGTGTTCCTGGAGGCTCCTGCAGACTCCTGGAGGCTCCTGGAGGCTCCTGCAGGCTCCTGCAGGCGGGGAAGCTGTCTTGACAGCACCTCGGCACAGTCTGGGCGTCTTGTACACACAAGTGAGTACCCCTTTGGCCTCCTGTCTTCTCCCACTCTTCCTTCCCAGAGGCGGGGTAACCTGTGTGGTGGTGTGGCTGTGGAGGTGGTGTGGCGGTGGTGGTGGTGGTGTGGCTGTGGAGGTGGTGTGGCTGTGGAGGTGGTGGTGGTGGTGGTGTGGCTGTGGTGGTGGTGTGGCTGTGGTGGTGGTGTGGCTGTGGTGGTGTGGCTGTGGTTGTGGTGGTGGTGTGGCTGTGGTGGTGTTGGTGTGGTGGTGTGGCTGTGGTGGTGTGGCTGTGGTGGTGGTGTGGCTGTGGTGGTGGTGTGGTGGTGGTGGTGTTGGTGTGGTGGTGGTGTGTGGTGTGGTGGTGGTGTGTGTGCTGTGGTGGTGGTGGTGGTGTGGTGGTGGTGGTGTGGTGGTGGTGGTGGTGGTGGTGGTGTGGCTGTGGTGGTGGTGTTGGTGTGGTGGTGGTGGTGTGGTGGTGGTGTGTGGTGTGGTGGTGGTGTGGCTGTGGTGGTGGTGTGGCTGTGGTGGTGGTGTTGGTGTGGTGGTGGTGTAGCTGTGGTGGTGGTGGTGGTGTGGCTGTGGTGGTTGTGGTGGTGTGGCTGTGGTGGTGTGGCTGTGGTGGTGGTGTGGTGATGGTGTGGTGATGGTGTGGTGGTGGTGTAGCTGTGGTGGTGGTGTGGTGGTGGTATGGCTGTGGTGGTGGTGTTGGTGTGGTGGTGGTGTGGCTGTGGTGGTGGTATGGCTGTGGTGGTGGTGTGGCTGTGTGGTGTGGTGGTGGTGTAGCTGTGGTGGTGGTGTAGCTGTGGTGGTGGTGGTGTGGTGGTGGTGTGGCTGTGGTGGTGGTGGTGGTGTAGCTGTGGTGGTGTGGCTGTGGTGGTGTGGCTGTGGTGGGGTGGTGGTGGTGTGGCTGTGGTGTGTGGTGTGGGGGTGTGGTGGTGGTGGTGTGGCTGTGGTGTGGGGGTGTGGTGTGGTGTAGCTGTGGTGGTGGTGTGGCTGTGGTGGTGTGGTGTGACTGTGGTGGTGTGGCTATTGTGGTGTGGTGTGACTGTGGTGGTGTGGCTATTGTGGTGGAAAATACTGGAAGGTCAGGTCCCAAATCTACACAGTATAATAACAACATTGGTTTCTGCCCGAAACGCTGCGCGTACTAGTGGCTTTACAAGAGTGTAAATACTGTACTATGCTATGTATTCTCACAAACCCAATGTACCTTCTTGTATTTAAATAAATAAATAAATAAACAAACATACTGGAGGGAACGATATGGAAGAATATGCAGAATAGAACGTGGGTATGTGGGCCTGCGGGCCGCTCCAAGCAACAGCCTGATGGACCAAACACTCACAAGTCAAGCCTGGCCTCGGGCCGGGCTTGGGGAGTAGAAGAACTCCCAGAACCCCATCAACCAGGTATCCCTGTGTGGGAGTGGGGACACCCTCACCATTCCTGATCAACACGGCTATTGGCCGCCAATGTTCGCAGTATGACGTATGAATAACAGCTGGTATCGAGTTCCATAATAAGTCAGGCTGGACTTGTGAGAGCGTGGTCCACCAGGTTGTTCCTTCCCGGGCCCGCAGGCCCACATATCCCATGCAACACGGTTGAAGTAGGTCTTGTAGCATTAATTTCCGTGTTCAGATTTGGTACCACATTTGAAATAATTTTTGGTACATTAATTTACTTGAGTGACAGCGACAAATGGCAGCGGAGGATAGTGGCACTCGCCTATGGCAACGTCAACCCTGGCCAATGAATTTTAAGTGAAAAAATGGTATGGATATGGTGTGAGTCACCTTTGGTATCTGGCAGTTGAGGTGTGGAGTGGAGCTGGAGTAGTGGGCTGTGGCTGGAGGCCTTGTGTGCCTCTCTCCTCTCTCGCCTGCACCTCCACACATTGAACACACTATCTTCCACTTATGGACTCTCTTTATTTCTCTCTCACTCTCTCTTCACCCAGAGTTTGTTGTTGGTGATGTGGACCACCATGGTGGTGTTGGTGATGTGGACCACCATGGTGGTGTTGGTGATGTGGACCACCATGGTGGTGGTGTTGGTGATGTGGACCACCATGGTGGTGTTGGTGATGTGGACCACCATGATGGTGTTGGTGGTGTGGACCACCATGGTGGTGTTGGTGATGTGGACCACCATGGTGGTGGTGTTGGTGATGTGGACCACCATGGTGGTGTTGGTGGTGTGGACCACCATGATGGTGTTGGTGGTGTGGACCACCATGGTGGTGTTGGTGATGTGGACCACCATGGTGGTGTTGGTGATGTGGACCACCATGGTGGTGTTGGTGATGTGGACCACCATGGTGGTGGTGTTGGTGATGTGGACCACCATGGTGGTGTTGGTGGTGTGGACCATCATGGTGGCGTTGGTGGTGTGGACCACCATGGTGGTGTTGGTGATGTGGACCACCATGGTGGTGGTGTTGGTGATGTGGACCACCATGGTGGTGTTGGTGATGTGGACCACCTTGGTGGTGTTGGTGATGTGGACCACCATGGTGGTGTTGGTGATGTGGACCACCATGGTGGTGTTGGTGATGTGGACCACCATGGTGGTGTTGGTGGTGTTGGTGATGTGGACCACCATGGTGGTGTTGGTGATGTGGACCACCATGGTGGTGTTGGTGATGTGGACCACCTGGTGGTGGTGTTGGTGGTGTGGACCACCATGGTGGTGGTGTTGGTGGTGTGGACCACCATGGTGGTGTTGGTGATGTGGACCACCATGGTGGTGTTGGTGGTGTGGACCACCATGGTGGTGGTGTTGGTGATGTGGACCACCATGGTGGTGGTGTTGGTGATGTGGACCACCATGGTGGTGTTGGTGATGTGGACCACCATGGTGGTGGTGTTGGTGGTGTGGACCACCATGGTGGTGGTGTTGGTGATGTGGACCACCATGGTGGTGTTGGTGGTGTGGACCACCATGGTGGTGGTGTTGGTGATGTGGACCACCATGGTGGTGGTGTTGGTGATGTGGACCACCATGGTGGTGGTGTTGGTGGTGTGGACCACCATGGTGGTGGTGTTGGTGATGTGGACCACCATGGTGGTGGTGTCGGTGATGTGGACCACCATGGTGGTGGTGTTGGTGGTGTGGACCACCATGGTGGTGGTGTTGGTGGTGTGGACCACCATGGTGGTGGTGTGGACCACCATGGTGGTGTTGGTGATGTGGACCACCATGGTGGTGGTGTGGGTGGTGGTGTGGACCACCATGGTGGTGGTGTGGACCACCATGGTGGTGGTGTTGGTGATGTGGACCACCATGGTGGTGGTGTTGGTGATGTGGACCACCATGGTGGTGGTGTCGGTGATGTGGACCACCATGGTGGTGGTGTCGGTGATGTGGACCACCATGGTGGTGGTGTTGGTGATGTGGACCACCATGGTGGTGTTGGTGATGTGGACCACCATGGTGGTGTTGGTGATGTGGACCACCATGGTGGTGTTGGTGATGTGGACCACCATGGTGGTGTTGGTGATGTGGACCACCATGGTGGTGGTGTCGGTGATGTGGACCACCATGGTGGTGGTGTTGGTGATGTGGACCACCATGGTGGTGGTGTCGGTGATGTGGACCACCATGGTGGTGGTGTCGGTGATGTGGACCACCATGGTGGTGTTGGTGGTGTGGACCACCATGGTGGTGGTGTTGGTGATGTGGACCACCATGGTGGTGGTGTTGGTGATGTGGACCACCATGGTGGTGGTGTTGGTGGTGTGGACCACCATGGTGGTGGTGTTGGTGGTGTGGACCACCATGGTGGTGTTGGTGGTGTGGACCACCATGGTGGTGTTGGTGATGTGGACCACCATGGTGGTGGTGTTGGTGGTGTGGACCACCATGGTGGTGGTATTGGTGGTGTGGACCACCATGGTGGTGGTATTGGTGGTGTGGACCACCATGGTGGTGTTGGTGATGTGGACCACCATGGTGGTGGTGTTGGTGATGTGGACCACCATGGTGGTGGTGTTGGTGATGTGGACCACCATGGTGGTGGTGTCGGTGATGTGGACCACCATGGTGGTGGTGTCGGTGATGTGGACCACCATGGTGGTGGTGTTGGTGATGTGGACCACCATGGTGGTGTTGGTGATGTGGACCACCATGGTGGTGTTGGTGGTGTGGACCACCATGGTGGTGGTGTTGGTGGTGTGGACCACCATGGTGGTGGTGTCGGTGATGTGGACCACCATGGTGGTGGTGTTGGTGGTGTGGACCACCATGGTGGTGTTGGTGGTGTGGACCACCATGGTGGTGGTGTTGGTGGTGTGGACCACCATGGTGGTGTTGGTGATGTGGACCACCATGGTGGTGGTGTCGGTGATGTGGACCACCATGGTGGTGGTGTCGGTGATGTGGACCACCATGGTTGGTGGTGTCGGTGATGTGGACCACCATGGTGGTGGTGTTGGTGATGTGGACCACCATGGTGGTGGTGTTGGTGATGTGGACCACCATGGTGGTGTTGGTGATGTGGACCACCATGGTGGTGTTTGGTGTGTGGACCACCATGGTGTGGTGTGGTGATGTGGACCACCATGGTGGTGTTGGTGATGTGGACCACCATGGTGGTGTTGGTGATGTGGACCACCATGGTGGTGGTGTTGGTGGTGTGGACCACCATGGTGGTGTTGGTGATGTGGACCACCATGGTGGTGGTGTTGGTGATGTGGACCACCATGGTGGTGTTGGTGATGTGGACCACCATGGTGGTGTTGGTGATGTGGACCACCATGGTGGTGGTGTTGGTGATGTGGACCACCATGGTGGTGTTGGTGATGTGGACCACCATGGTGGTGGTGTTGGTGATGTGGACCACCATGGTGGTGGTGTCGGTGATGTCATAATTAACCAAGCAGAATATTATTACATCGTTGATATATGGTTGGTTTATGGTGGTGCAGTAAACGTTAAGAGATTGAGAGGCCATCGACCCCTACAAATGAGGGTAATCATCCGCCCTGACCTAACTGCTGGGAACGCCACCAGTGT